TTGTCGTCAGTGAATGTAAAAAAAAGGCTTTAGCTTCCATTGCACCAATGAAACTACAAGATTGTAATGTTGATGACGTCATTGAAGATATACTATTGTATATGCATAATCAATGTTTTTTATTTTTACACGTAGGTACGTTGTGTGCGTAATTTCCAAATATGTATTTTAGTAATTGTTTATTTTAGGGGCTACACCTCCGATTTTATTGAAATTTTAATATGATTTACAGTTCATGGTGCGGGGAGGGGGGTAAAAATACCAAACCCACTCCGTACACGAATAAGATTTTAATTTTATTTTTTTTGGGTTCATAGTGTTATCGTTGCTGTGGATTTCTTCGAATTACAACAATGTGCTTTCGCATAGATATGTGTTGAGCTTGTTTTTTTTTTTTTACTTTTTCAATCTCCCCAAAACTAAGGGAATGGTTTTCGCGCCCAAAATATTACTAACATTTCAAGAAAATCGGAGATATGACCCGTAAAGTAAACCGTATTCAAAATTTAACAAAACATGTCAAAAAAAAGAACAACACAAACTGAAAAATTGTAATAAAATTTAACCTATAAGAAAATGAATAAATCGGCAACAGTAATTTTTTATTGTAAAAAATTTCCTTATTTTTAATAAAAGAAATTATTTCTAAATATACTTTCACCAAAATTCATGTTAAATTGTAACTACGTTTTATTTATAGATAATGTTGAATCTGAACTCGCTTCTGCAGTGAACGAATTAAAGTTATATATTGATCGAAAAATTGAAAATGCTAAAAGAAGCATTTTATAATATTTCGAAGAAAAAATTAAAAATGTGAAAGCTTTAATTGCCGAGTCGCATCTTCAAAACATTGAACAATCTTCTAAAAGTAGCAGTTATTTACAGATATGTAATAAGTTGCCTCTTACCACCCTAGAAGATTTTATTATGTTTGAACAAGACATAAATGAAAAGGAAGATGAACAACGTGCTTTGGTATGTATATTCAGCAGTATTTTTTAACATTTACGTATTACGTAATGATTATTTTAGTTCAGTTAATTTTTATTACAGAAACAACTTTTACGAGTTTTTACATCGGGATGTAATAATTATGAAAAAGATGTAAATAACATCATAGGAAATGTCATTAAAAAAGAAGTACAGTTGCTGTTTAGTGGCACAGGTCGGGTGGTAAAGGGTAGTGAAAAAAAAAGTTTCCATAACACGAAAACGTATGAATGTATGAATGGTAAGAAGTATTAGTACCTATTCATTGTTACAATACTTTCAGTTTTCTTCACTAATTTCCTGACTAAGGAGATGTTATTAACCCAAAATTTAAAATTAAATACATCATATCGCGGCCATGATTTTCAATATTTGTTGTTTTTATACAAATTTTTTTATTTTGCAAATTTTTTCGTCCCTATTAATTTTCTGTAAATATTTTTTTTTTAGATTTTTTGCAGTCAAAATATAAAGATCACGCATTAAACGTGTTAAGAGCTACCAGCCACTATTTATCAGGTGCAGGAGATAGAGACGGCGGTAGACAACAACGGCTCACCGAGAAAACAACCTAGCATAATTTATTTATATTTTTTTTCTACATTTATTTATATTTTTTTCTACGTTTATTTATGTTTTTCCTACATTTACTTATATTTTTTCTACATGCGTTTTATATAATATACGGATACAAAGAAAATGCAATTTAATTCATTATTATCATGAATGTCCTGAAATTAAATTCTATTGTGATCTATGCCGGAAAATTAACTGTTTTCTGAAAAAAATCATTACTTACTTTGTTAATATTTTTATTGGGTAATTATATTTATACATGTGTACGATGACTTCGGTAACTAATTTTTTCAGTCTAAATGTCACGCATTAGTAGTCTATATGTTTTTTTAATTTTTAATCATTACGAGATTGAAAATGATTGGTTTTTATGAAATCCATCAAAAACATCATAAAAATGTTATCTGTTCGCACTATTCACAAATTTTCGTCCACTTGTTTCCTCCAAGGAGTTCTTTGTAATATCAATACTACCGTTTTTTCATTGCCATTGGCGAAATTAGAATGACGTTTTTGAAAGATGTTTGTATCAGGAAAAGTGTTTACCTAATACTCAACGGAATATCGATTTACCCACATATGATTATTGGCCAACCAGTTTTGGCATAACATTGGCTGCCCAATCATAGATTTCTTTTATTAATCAAATCAACAATATGAGCAGGCCAGTCTTGGACTAATATTGACTATCAAGTTTTGCTCCAATATGGGCTGTCCAATATTGGGCTGATATTGTTCACAAGTCTTAGTTCTGGTTGTCGTGGGCAAAGTTTGGCAACCAGGCTTGGGCCGAAGTTATGTTCCAAGCATTTGCCATGCTTGGTCCAATATTGGTTGCCAATCTTGGGTTAATATTGTTCACCAAGTCTTAGCTCATCATTGGCTATTCAGTCATGGGCCAAGCTTGGCAAGCAGGCGTGGGCCTAAGTTATGTTCCAAGCGTTTGCCATGCTTGGTCCAATATTGGTTGCCAATCTTGGGTTAGTATTGTTCACCAAGTCTTGGCTCATCATTGGCTATTCAGTCATGGGCCAAGCTTGGCAAGCAGGCGTGGGCCGAAGTTATGTTCCAAGCGTTTGCCATGCTTGGTCCAATATTGGTTGCCAATCTTGGGTTAGTATTGTTCACCAAGTCTTGGTTCATCATTGGCTGTCCAGTCATGGGCCAAGCTTGGCAAACAGGCGTGGGCCGAAGTTATGTTCCAAGCGTTTGCCATGCTTGGTCCAATATTGGTTGCCAATCTTGGGTTAGTATTGTTCACCAAGTCTTGGTTCATCATTGGCTGTCCAGTCATGGGCCAAGCTTGGCAAACAGGCGTGGGCCGAAGTTATGTTCCAAGCGTTTGCCATGCTTGGTCCAATATTGGTTGCCAATCTTGGGTTAGTATTGTTCACCAAGTCTTGGTTCATCATTGGCTGTCCAGTCATGGGCCAAGCTTGGCAAACAGGCGTGGGCCGAAGTTATGTTCCAAGCGTTTGCCATGCTTGGTCCAATATTGGTTGCCAATCTTGGGTTAGTATTGTTCACCAAGTCTTGGTTCATCATTGGCTGTCCAGTCATGGGCCAAGCTTGGCAAACAGGCGTGGGCCGAAGTTATGTTCCAAGCGTTTGCCATGCTTGGTCCAATATTGGTTGCCAATCTTGGGTTAGTATTGTTCACCAAGTCTTGGTTCATCATTGGCTGTCCAGTCATGGGCCAAGCTTGGCAAACAGGCGTGGGCCGAAGTTATGTTCCAAGCGTTTGCCATGCTTGGTCCAATATTGGTTGCCAATCTTGGGTTAGTATTGTTCACCAAGTCTTGGTTCATCATTGGCTGTCCAGTCATGGGCCAAGCTTGGCAAACAGGCGTGGGCCGAAGTTATGTTCCAAGCGTTTGCCATGCTTGGTCCAATATTGGTTGCCAATCTTGGGTTAGTATTGTTCACCAAGTCTTGGTTCATCATTGGCTGTCCAGTCATGGGCCAAGCTTGGCAAACAGGCGTGGGCCGAAGTTATGTTCCAAGCGTTTGCCATGCTTGGTCCAATATTGGTTGCCAATCTTGGGTTAGTATTGTTCACCAAGTCTTGGTTCATCATTGGCTGTCCAGTCATGGGCCAAGCTTGGCAAACAGGCGTGGGCCGAAGTTATGTTCCAAGCGTTTGCCATGCTTGGTCCAATATTGGTTGCCAATCTTGGGTTAGTATTGTTCACCAAGTCTTGGTTCATCATTGGCTGTCCAGTCATGGGCCAAGCTTGGCAAACAGGCGTGGGCCGAAGTTATGTTCCAAGCGTTTGCCATGCTTGGTCCAATATTGGTTGCCAATCTTGGGTTAGTATTGTTCACCAAGTCTTGGTTCATCATTGGCTGTCCAGTCATGGGCCAAGCTTGGCAAACAGGCGTGGGCCGAAGTTATGTTCCAAGCGTTTGCCATGCTTGGTCCAATATTGGTTGCCAATCTTGGGTTAGTATTGTTCACCAAGTCTTGGTTCATCATTGGCTGTCCAGTCATGGGCCAAGCTTGGCAAACAGGCGTGGGCCGAAGTTATGTTCCAAGCGTTTGCCATGCTTGGTCCAATATTGGTTGCCAATCTTGGGTTAGTATTGTTCACCAAGTCTTGGTTCATCATTGGCTGTCCAGTCATGGGCCAAGCTTGGCAAACAGGCGTGGGCCGAAGTTATGTTCCAAGCGTTTGCCATGCTTGGTCCAATATTGGTTGCCAATCTTGGGTTAGTATTGTTCACCAAGTCTTGGTTCATCATTGGCTGTCCAGTCATGGGCCAAGCTTGGCAAACAGGCGTGGGCCGAAGTTATGTTCCAAGCGTTTGCCATGCTTGGTCCAATATTGGTTGCCAATCTTGGGTTAGTATTGTTCACCAAGTCTTGGTTCATCATTGGCTGTCCAGTCATGGGCCAAGCTTGGCAAACAGGCGTGGGCCGAAGTTATGTTCCAAGCGTTTGCCATGCTTGGTCCAATATTGGTTGCCAATCTTGGGTTAGTATTGTTCACCAAGTCTTGGTTCATCATTGGCTGTCCAGTCATGGGCCAAGCTTGGCAAACAGGCGTGGGCCGAAGTTATGTTCCAAGCGTTTGCCATGCTTGGTCCAATATTGGTTGCCAATCTTGGGTTAGTATTGTTCACCAAGTCTTGGTTCATCATTGGCTGTCCAGTCATGGGCCAAGCTTGGCAAACAGGCGTGGGCCGAAGTTATGTTCCAAGCGTTTGCCATGCTTGGTCCAATATTGGTTGCCAATCTTGGGTTAGTATTGTTCACCAAGTCTTGGTTCATCATTGGCTGTCCAGTCGTGGGCCAAGCTTGGCAAACAGGCGTGGGCCGAAGTTATGTTCCAAGCGTTTGCCATGCTTGGTCCAATATTGGTTGCCAATCTCGGGCCAGAATTAAAAACTCTTGGACCAAGCTTGGACCAAGCTTGGCCCCGTCGTTAGTTCCTACATGGGTTCATACAAAATAATAGTATTAATCTTTTTGTAAAATAATTAATAATGATAATTACTAAAATATGAAGTTAAGTGCATTGTGAGGCGTGTACCTCAGAACTTCTTATAAAATGATAATATTAGGAGTTAGTAGTATGAAGTTAAGTGCATGGTGAAGCGTCTACTTCAGAAATTCTTATAAAATGATAATATTAAGAGGTAGCAATATGAAGTTACGTGCACCGTGAGGCGTGTACCTACCTCAGATCTTCTTACAAATGATAATGTTAATAGATAAAAATATCAAGTTAAGTGCATTACAAAAAGTATAATAAGTAGAGTTCGGATTCTATGCAAAATGCATGTAACATATATCTATGCAAGCATATTTCCAAGATTTTTGAATAATACATATGCATTTAAAATAAATGCATATTTTGGTATAATTCGATATATTATCTGCATAAAAGCTATTATTTAACGTTTAAAAGTCTGTTACTTACCATTGCTCCAATTGCTTTTTAATGACATTCTCGTTTCGTACCTAATACAAACTTGTTATCGGGGAAAAACCAAATGCATAGCGACTAATAATGCGGTTGTTGTCTCTAATATTTTTCATCATTTGTTGTTATTCTGTAAAGTATTTTACCCGAATTTAATTCACTGCAAATGTTTGGCACATGGTTTAAACCGAGTAGCAGAAGCTGTTAGGTTGGAATACCTGGAGGTAAATAAATTGATTTCAAACGTA